TTTTATAATTTTTATAATAATAATAATAATAATAATAATTTTTTATATAATGATAATAATATTTTTTATAATAATAACTATGAAATGGAAACTAAATTCGATATAAATCTCACGCTTCTCTTGGTCGTTTCTGTTTACTAAAACACACGCTATTCAGAAAACCATTATATGCACAACATATCTCTGATATTTCTATGCATTTATAGTAGAGGCAGATGGAAAAGACAAAAAAGGGTTCTTTGTTAAAGTGTATTCCTCTTTTGGTAGACCATTTGACGGAACTGGTCAATCAAACACCCACTGAGGAGACACGTTTCATGCTGGCATCACAGAACAAAAATACTGACTTAAGAAGCGTTTAAGTGTCCCAGTGAACAAGGTCACGGCCCTCTGGGACTGAATAAAGAAATGCAGATCTCCCTCACAGAGGCGCTAAACAGTGCGCTGTCATAAAGCGCTTTCAACCTTTGTCATTTCCAAAGTGATGAAAGCTCTAAAACACAACCTCAATTATTAGGTCAAGAATAAAATCTTCATTCTCCAGCATTTGGCTTTCTTTATGGCATACTTCAGATCCCCTTTAAGAGATGAGATTTTAAATTAGGACATTTTATTAGGATAGCATCTGTACCCCGTCTGCACCGTCGTTTTATAAAAGGGCAAATTTGAATCCCTACTAAATATATGCAGGATTTTAATTGATCTATTCATACATACGTATATCTTTTACATTCTTTCTCTATGGTGCTTTAAAATATTATATTTGTGTTTATATATTAAATTAGACAGTACCAAAGCCGAAAGTGAAACTAATCTAACAAAGTAAACAGTCATTCGTTCATTTTCCTTTGCTTTAGTCCCTTATTAATCAGGGGTCACCACAGGGGAATGGACCGACAACTATTCCAGCATATGTTTTACACAGTACTGGGAAACACCCATACACACTCATTCACACACACACTCATACACTACAGACATTTTAGTTAATCAATTCCCCTGTACCGCATGTGTTTGGACTGTGGGGTGAACCGGAGCACCTGGAGGAAACCCACACTAACACGAGGAGAACATGCAAACTCCAAACAGAAATGGCAACTGGCACAGCCAGGACTCGAACCAATGACCGTCTTGCTGTGAGGTGACAGTACTAACCCCTGAGCCACCATGCCACCCATCTAACCAAGTAAATAATATGTATATACATATGACATTGGCAAGAAGCTTTGATCACTCTAAGCTGTCAATCGACTCCATAGCAACAAAACCGACGAACCTAGCAACCAACAGCAATATCTCATCATCAGAACATGGTTGGGAGCGGAATATTGGCTCGTTTGAGTCATGCTAGAAAACTGGACTTCCTGCATGCTACACATGCTAGCAGTAATTAGTTATGCTAATAATAATTATGCTAGAAATGCTTACTAAGTAATAACAAACCTTAGCACCCTAGCAACTGCCTAGCAATGACTCAGAACACCGTAGCAATCACCTAGCAATGCCTTAAAAACTGGACTGACAGAATTTACTAGAACTTCTATGTGAAGCTGCTTTAACACAATCTACATTGTACAAGCGCTAGAGAAATAAAGATGAATTAATTGAATTAGCAACTACCTAGCAACCAACCAAAACATCAGAACACTTTCTCAAGCCAACATCGAAGTTGGTCAGCAAGCTTTAGCTTCTAGTTAAGCATTATCCCCCGGTTTCACAAACAAGGTGTAACTATAGGTCTCCGGCAGAAATGGTGACACAAACAAATGAATAACCATCCATAATTCAACACTATTGTGTCGGTGGACTAAATGGGCCCTATCATACACCCGGCGCAGTGTGGCGCAAGGAGTGACGCAGTAGTCTTTTGGTAGTTTCAGCTTGGCGCAAGAGTCGTTTTGAGGTGTTGCGCTACGCTGTTTAAATAGCAAATGCATTAGCGCTCATTTGTGCGCCCATAGGCGTTCTGGTCTAAAAAGGAAGGTGTTCTGAGGCGGACCGCTGGCGCGTTGCTATTTTGAGAATCTATAACAGATTTTTCATTAGACCAAAACTATCCCGGTCTAAACTCCAGCACAGAGTTGCGCCTCGCTTACACACTGCTTAATACACACAAGAGAGCAATAGGCAAATATCCTTACATATGAAAAAATGTAAATATTAAGGATATATATAGGATATAATAAGAATAGATATAGAATATAAATATAAAGGATTAAAATATTACAAAACATATTATTTTCTAGCCTACATAAATATGAAAAATCACTGCTTTTATGTCTTCTTCATCTCGGGAGGCTTTTTCAGTTCATTCATAACAATTTGCTTTTGTATAATGCTATTATTATTAGCAGTATTATTTATTATATCCATATTTATATTTGTTTGATTAAAAACAAGCTTAGATTTGCCCACCTGTCAGGTTTTAGACCATATGGGGCACAGCATGTGTTTTAGGATATAACTCAGGTTTTTGAGCACATTTTGTTATTGTTGTTCATTTATTCGTTTGCTGGAAATTAGAACTGAATTTAGAAATAGTTTTGAAACGAATATTTCCACTTAACAAACGCAATTGATTATTTATAGACTAATTGATGTCTGTGCGTAAAGGTTTCCCTATCCAAGAGCGAAAGTGAAAGTGATCCATTATCTCTCATTCTCACGCAGTAGATGCTCTGTTTAACTGTTTTCTGTTAACTGTTTGCTTGTGAAATGCTCATTTTTTCCACGTAGACTCACTTTGCGTCCCTGTAAATGGCGAATGCGCTCTTGCCGCGACACAGCTGCTCTTAAAAGGAATGGGAGATGAGACTCTGATTGGGTTATTCTCAAAACACACCTATAACTCATTAAGAAAATAAACTCAACCCTTTTAGACCATGCGCCACGGCGCAAAACGAATTTTCCCGTCCTTAAATTAGCAAAAACGCGTCCTGACACGCCCTGAAAGCATTTGCGCCCTGCGTTTTACGCATGGACCGTCAAAATAGAGCCCAATGTGCTTGATAGGATGTTTTTCTGTGGACTCTTACCTTTCAAAATAAACCGTGATTCACAGCAATGAATGCGTGTGTGTGTTGTTATTACATGATATGTACGCCATATCTAATAAGCGTTTTCTGCAAAACTTACACAAATTTAGAAAATACATTCTTTATAAGCTTTCCATTGAAAAACAACTAGCTGCAATGGGTGCTTAGGAGATGTAGCTTCATACTGATGTAGAGTTTTTCAAGACTACACTTTTTTTTATTTTTGATGTAATCTATTCATAAACATTGACATGTGGAAAAAACAGCACCTCAGTGCGACCTCGTCGGGGCACTGTGGAAGGGGTTAAGGCTGGTCAAGATTAAACTGCATGTTTGAGCTGTCTCAAAATAACTTGCAATGAGATGTATTTAAATACATCAGTGTATTTTTTTTGTCTCCAGGTGCACACCAGTAATATATGTTTTCTAAGAAATTTGGCTTAAATGGGCTAAATTAACTAAGGCCTAGTCCTGGCTTAATCTAAGCCCTGTTTGTGAAACTGGGCCTAAATGCACTGATTCCGTTCATATTTAATGTTTTATCCCCAAAATGTGTATTAAAACTCTGTCAGTAATTATGATTATAAACATTACCTAAGCAACCTCAAGGAGGGAACAGCTATTGGTGAATTCAATCAAAAGCCAGATACAAAGTCGCTGGTAGTGTGAAAGAGGCTGAATGTGATGTGAATAGGCATGGGTTGATAACCCATTTCTTGGTCAAAGCCTCATTTAAATACACCTGAAATCAGAACTAATTATATTGGTTTTGTTAGCTCGAATTGCTAGTTTTGTGCTGAACAGTTAATCTGTGCGAGTCTTTAAGAAAAAAAACCAACCCGGGCTCATTGTGGAAACGTAGCCCCGCGGACGTTTCTGCGGACCGCGATTTACGTCACGGGAGGTACGTATTCAAGCGGTTTTTGTTTTCGCGGATCCGCGAGAGGCCACTGTGCGCGGTTTTTCGCGTCTCGGGCGCACGCGACGTTCGCGCCTGCGCCGTTCTCGCGCGAAAAGCCGCCGGATCGGCCGACTCGGCCGCCCTCTTCTTCCTCCTCCTCCTTCCCTAAACCCGAGCGACGGTTCGCAAAAGCCGCCCAGAAAAAAAAAAAAAAAAAAAGCAAAAGCCCTCGTCTTCGATTTCGACCGCGTTTTCGGATCCCGCCGCGTTCTCGCCCTTATTTTTCGGATTCCGTTTTTCGTCTTACCTGATTTCCGGAACCGCTGTTCCCCGGACTCGATCCCGGTCGTCGTCCCCGTGGCCGTCTCCTCCTCCTCCTCCGGGGCCTCCGCTCCGCCGACACAACGCTGTGAGCTAAGCGGACAAACTGGTTGCATCGGGAAAGCCCTCCACTCGGAGGCGAGCCGTTGTCCGGCGAGCACGAAGAGGAGGGGCGGAGCGGCGCCACACCGCCCCGCAGCGTTCGCACGGAAAAAACTAAACGCGGCTTTATGTGCCTCCGGCCACGTAAATCGCTGTCTCCAGAAACGTCCGCGGGGCTACGTTTCCAGAATGAGCTTGGGTTGAAAAAAACAAGTGTTTGGCCTTGTAATCTTCATTTGAAATCTAAAAATGCACTTCAGGTTTTTGTTCAGTTGAATTCTCAAATTAGGTCTGTCTGAGGTATTGGGTGTGGCTAACATACTTAACCACGCCCCTCCAGCTGTCAGTTTTGACAACAAACAGAAAAGGTGAGGAGGAGGAGCCTGTTAGATTGTGATAACTCCCCCCAAAACCTTTTCCCCATCTTTCTGAATGAAACACCTACTTTACTACATCCAACCAGCTCGCAGTTCAAAAACAAAGCCACGCCCACTGTTTTTCTTATTAATCATTACATTTCTCTAGGAACTTTCACAATGCAAAAAAAAAAAAACACACACACACACACACACACACACACACACACAAATGGTTGCAGCTTCCAGCTCATGTGGACTTTAAAGAAGTGAAGCAATTATTACCTTAAAGAAGGTCATTGTGGATCCGTCCTCCACCACTCCGTACTCAATCTTCGTCTGCTTGGCCAGGTCATCAGCCGAGTCGATTGGAGACTCCATTCTCTCCACCGTTAGGAAGGCAGCTAAGTTGGCCGTGTAGGAGGAGATGATGATTAGGGTGAAAAACCACCAGATTCCTCCTACTATCCTGGTGGAAAGGGCTTTGGGCATGAGCTCAGATCCTAGTAGAGAGGAGCAGAGACAGCAGTCAGGGTAAAGTAGTGTTCCCGATGTGAGGACCAGCACCAGATGCACTTTCTAACCCAATCCAAACACAAGAAGTAGTTGCAGGGAATGATTCTGCCTGCTGACAACTATGAGTAGTTTACATGGACACCAATACTCCGATTTTAATATGAATAGGACAATACTCTCATTAAGAGCCTACCAATGTAACTGGTTTTAATCAGACTAAAGTCATAATCAAACTATATAGAAATAGAATTAAGACATGTGGAGTATTCCTATTTTAGTGGCATTATTGAAGTGCTGTACAGACCGCGATCACACTATTATCGTCATGTAGGACCTTTTAGCAGGATAAGATGTTGGCTCGATGTTGGATTTCGGTCACTTTCAACACAACCTCAAATCAACCAAATATTAACATCGAATAACATTACAGCTTGACATTTGTGGTTATTACCACCATGATGTCTATCAGATGTTGGATTTGGGTTGCCATACCTGATGAATAGATGTCGGTATTTGATGTCTAAATGATGTTGGTTTAAGATGTTGGCTTAACGTTGGATTTAGGCCACATTTAACACAGCCTAAATTCAACCAAATACTAACTTCTAATAATGGTACAGCTTGACATTGAGTGGAAGTTTCCACTATGACGTCTATCAGACGTTGGATTTTATTTGCCATACCTATGAATAAATGTCTGTATTTGACATCAATATGACATTGGTTTAAGATGTTGGCTCAACGTTGGATTTTGGTCACTTCCAACACAACCTCAAATCAACCAAATATTAACATTGAATAACGTTACAGCTTGACATTTGTGGTTATTACCAACATGACGTCTATCAGATGTTGTAATTTGGTTGCCATACCTGACTAATAAATGTCAGTATTTGACATCAATATGACGTTTTTTTAAGATGTTGACTCAACGTTGGATTTTGGTCACTTTCTAACAACCTAAAAT